CTTGTGAGAGGAGGTAGTGACGTCAGTAGCCACATGCTGGTCCATGACGCGAATGTGTTTCACATTTAGATTTGTAAAACATACATTTACAACATAAACAAGAAAATACTTGTGTAAAACTCAAGATAAGAAGGTCACAATAAACTACTGTAAAATTTTTCTTACCAATTAAGATTAACATGCCCAACGTGGTAAGTAAAAACTCAGATAATATATAGTCCATGAACAAAACTTCTGACAAGTCCCATGAAATATTAAGACAATATAATTTTTAATTACAATTTTAATTAGAATTCATATTGTAAAAATGGAGTATTTCAATTATACATTTAAACTTAAAATTAATTACAAAGCCAAGGCTTAAAGGATTTTCTTATTTTCTTTCTTGTAAACAATTTAGTGTAGGCACAATCTTTTAATCATGATAATGTCCCTTGGGTTGAAACTATTAGGGACAAATTCGAGAGAAAAAAAGTAGAGTCCTTGTGTTAATTAAAATGTAATAAATAACATACAGTCCTTATGGAACAAACTCCAAATATCTCTGTAATTCATATAAATTCCTAATAGCTTTTGCTTTCAATATTGTCTCCCTGAGGCATTTTTGAAAAATCAGAATCTGTCATCCTAAATATTTCTTATTGCATTTCATAGCTTAAATACTCAAAATGAGCTTTAGATATTTTCAGTTAATTCATAAATCCACTCAATTGATTCAACATTTATTGAGCATTTCTGTACTCTGGACATTAGTGAGTCATAATGCCAAATGCATCAGGAGTCAATTAAAATACGGTAGGATGAGCAGTATAATAGAAATAAACAAGGGCTATAGTAGTAGTAGGAACCATTAAACTAGCAAAAGTTTGGTCAGGGAAGGCTTCATGGGGAAGCAGGCAATGGCAAGGTAAAGGTGAGGTGAAGTGGGAAGGGAGATGAGAGCAGGGGAGAGACCACAGAAGTTTGGCAGGTTCAGAGAACCACTTGGAAGTTCCTTTGATTCTATAACTACCTGAGACCATGAGAAGCTGAATAGTTTCACCATGGTCAAAGGCGTTTTCAAGCTTGAGACTTTCACAAATTTCCGCAGTAGAACTACTTCTGCTATTCTTTTTTTGGTACAATGACTATTGTATAAGCATGAAAAGAAGTTAACAGCTTTCAAAATGTCTTGCAAATGTATTTAATTATAAGCATATTTACCAACTAAAATAAACATAACACCAATTGCCATCAGACTCACTATGGTAACAATAATATATGTAAAGTAAAAATTAGTTATTTACATTCTGAATATAAAAATGGAGATAGTTATATTTGTGGTTAAGGTAATTCTTTGTTAAATATGTCTCCATAGACATAGAAAACTGAATCTTTGGATAGCTCTTGTCATCAAAACCCTAAAACACATTTACTATTTTATATGAAATTCTTCATTAAACCATGAATATATGATTTATGCAAAAGTTACTTTTGAACTCTATAATACCAAAATATTGAGTCACAAATTTTCTATATTAATAGGTATAATATTAAGGTACAATGTAGAGGCTATATGTCACTATAAAAAATGATGTTGAGTATTTTTTCTTATTTAATTACTATTAGGTAATATCTGTGCCTAAGCTTTATTCTGATTTTTTTTAATCAATGTATTCTTTTTCTATTTTTCTTAGTATCTATGTTTGGAAACATACATTTCTATTAATTATGAATTTTTTCCTTTAATTTAATAAGATATGAAAGGTGAATCTCAGTTTCTACCAAAGTACATTTGATTCAGTTTAGATAGCTTATAGTTTTCGTACCTGTCCAGCTGCTTTGAACCTTAAGTCATACAGTTCACATTGTGTGTCTGATTGTTCAAACTTTTATGTAAGTACAAAGTGGGAAATTGGGTAAAACTAGAACTACAGATAGATCATTTCTTTTGTACAGATAACCTGCCCTGGATATAGTATTATTTGGTATCATAACATTGCCATCTAGTGGCATCAAGTGGTATTGGTTTGTTAATTTTCAGCAATGATTAAAACAGCACTTCAAAACAGTATTCCAAAATTGGGATAAATGCATTACAATTAATGTCTACTAATATAAAAATGATATATGTTATATTACTATTATATTTTCAGTTATCAAGTTTCTAAAATCAGAGGGTTCCAAATGTGTATACACATTTTAAGAAAGGAAAAATACTGTATTAAAATTGTAATACTTTTACATCTGACTTCTGCAATTATGAGAGATGATCAAACATGAATTGTATTTATCTTGTTGTCTGTATATATTGTGATAGTTTTAATAATTTTTCCTTTCTTAAGATGTGTGTGCTTTTTTGGCACCCTCTGTCTTTTAAGAAATGAAATGAAATGTTAACACTTAATAGAAAACTCATGATTTTTCGGAAATACACTATCTAAACTAATTATGCATTCATCTCAGCCAAAATGTAAAAAGATACTTTAATAGTTTCACAAGGTGGTTTGTATATTTGTTGGAAACAATTCAATCATCAACATATTTTAGAAAAATCCTTTCTCATGTCAATAGTAAGTTATTGTTTTTAAGGGTCAGCTTGATCATTTATGCCACAGAGTTGATGACTCTCCAGCTAATTTAATGACCATCTTCACGCATGTTCAAGTAGCGCAGACTGAAATCCAGTGACATGTGTGCAATCACTGCGTGTGTTTTGTCTCAATACGCTCTTTCTCCATATACAGACATGAAAGTTCTGGTGAAGACAAAGGTAACTTTTGTTGCTATTTGCCTGTGTAATTAACAAACATGACATGGCTGAGAGTTATAACTTCTCTCTACCAACTTACATGTTCTTGAGAATTAAAGCATTTTTGTTATTTTCAGTCCTTTTTTTTGGCACAACTCTCATTTAACATCAGATAAATGTATGGGATGAACTCAAATATATTTCTCTCAAAAAATGTGTTATCTTATAAATTTTCAAATACAAAGAAAGGTAAAAGAGTAAAATGAACACCTGCATACCATTTACCCTGATTTACCAGTTAACACGCCACCCTGGCTATTCCCTTTCTCATATGTGTATAACACAGGTAGAGGATACCAAAGAACACATACACATTTTAGAAAACAAGTTTACCTATTTGTGTCTGTCACTTGGTGACCCTAGCATTCATTTGAATAACAGGGTGTTTAGTGCAAAAGTCACATTACACATCACTACTGTAAATTCAACTCAACTTCCAAACATGATACATAGATAACATGGCTGAAAATGAGTACACATTTTATTAGCACACCAGGGATACTTTAAAAGTAAATCCCTCTGTGGATACCTGAATTTTATTTGTATCCTAGATAATTTTTGAGCATCTATAGCAGGTTTTGTGAACAGAAAATAATTGAATAACTTACCTGTTAAAAATAGGTGACTATAAAACTTACCAAAGTTTATTTCTTTAATCTTTGACTTCAATTTATATCTTATTCTAATTTTAATAAAAAACATTCTTTATTTTCTACAAATGAATAAACAGTTAACTGAAGTTGAAAATAAATTTCCTTAGAAGTGCCCTATATATTTTTTAGGTGATCAGTTTGTCAAATACTAAGTCATATAATATTTTTATTTAATCTGTTCAAGATTTTAAAAGTTTTAAAGGCCTTACTTTGAAAATTTATTAAGGCTTGCTTTTCTAAAGAATTTAATAATCTAATAAATAAAATTTATGAAAAAACTCATTCTCTTATACCTGTAACTTTAATAAACCAAATTCTAAAACTGATTCTACAATTACATGTATTAAATTGGAAATGATTTGAATTCTCTTAAACTTTAATAAAGTACTTTGAAAATCATGTGTGTACATATGTATACATTCTAAATCTAACAGAAAAACATTAGTACTGTGTAATATAATCATTTTTAAACCAGACCAGAGCTGTACATCACTCATAAAAAATAATTTTATTACCCTAAGTTGAGGTTATTTCCAGTAACCTGTTGTTTGGTTTTGGCCAGATATTTTTTTGCCTCAGAAAGAACACCTGAGTGGCTCAGGGCTGGGACCGTCTTCCTGTTCTCCTGGTCACTGAGAGACACACTTATTACCTCTTGTCATTTTTAGGAAAGGATTCCACGTCTGTATGCTTGAGAGGTCGATTTTTCTAGGGTTCAAGTTATACCTTTTTATTTTCCATTTGTTTAAAAAAAGTCCTGTATTTTTTTTTTTTCGGTTCTCTCAAACTATTTCAATGTCCTTCTAGTTCCCAAGACAAGTGATTTCTTGAGAGTTTGCATACATGGTCGGAATTCCTCAGTCTGATCTTAACTCTTGACGTCTACTCCATGCTACAACGAATGTCTGTCATTCTGTTGAGAACCTGATTAAATCTTGAGCTCTTTTATATCCTTCCTATCAGATTGAGCCACAAACGTATTGGTTGGCAACTAATTGGCCTATAGACACCTTTTAACCATAAAAACTTAAATTTAGTGGACATGAGTTTCTAAGATACCTAGAAAATAAACCTCTTGAGGAAAAAAGTCCATATTAATTATTGGACTATAGACAACAGTTTGTGGTTCCCACACTAAAATCATATTAATAACAATATGTGATAAGATTTGAGTTAGGGAAATCACATAATACCTGTAATAATGATAAAGCAGTTTAGGAAATAAGATGAGAAGAGGAATTTGCTGTAATGTTACCTGCTACTCTTCCAAGCATTTCACACTTTACCTTATTGAGAGGTACTCCTTCTCTCATTTGTAAATGAGGAAAGTTAGGCACAGGGAGGTTAGTGACTTGCTCAGGTAGTAAGGGACAGAGCCCATATTCAATCCCTGGCAGTCTGACTGTACCACCTATGCCCCTGTCAATAGTATTCATGTCATCAAGTACATACTGTATATATAAAATGTGGATGTGTTTAATGTAATTGTGGCTTATGCCTTGACTTCATATCCAGAGGAAAGTGCTGACTTCTTTTTCACTGATGCTTTCATGTAGGTAGTGAATTATTTGCTGGGCTCTACAGTGACTACTGGGGCAGAGACGCTGCCATCTTCCGGAGCCTGGGCCGACTGGCCCACATTCGCACTGAGCACGATGATGAACGCCTGTTGAAAGGTGAAGGCAGAGTGTGTGAATGAGGAATAAAATCCTCTAGAACCTTTGTGAAATTTCACCATTTTAACAACAACATGAGTATTATTTATAATTCTTACAAATTTCAGGATGTTTTATTAGAATTATTCTTGAATTAAAATGTAATATATACATGTAGATATCATTTTATATCAATATGAGCTGGTTTAATTATACAATCAGTTTACTTTTATGGCAGTGTTTAGAAATCAGGATTTATATGAAGAAAAAAGCAAGAGTATGGCTCGGCACCTGTAGCACAGTGGTTACGGCGCCAGCCTCATGCACCTAGGCTGGCAGGTTCAAGCCTGGGCCAGCTAAACAACAGTGACAACTACAACAAAAAATAACTAGGAGTTGTGGCAGGTGCCTATAGTCCCAGCTACTAGGGAGGCTGAGGCAAGAGAAACACTTTAGCCCAAGAGTGGAGGTTGCTGTGAGCTGTGACACTTCAGCACTCTACTGACAGCAACATAGTGAGACTCTATCTCTAAAAAAAAAAAAAAGAAAGAAAGAAAAGAAAAGAAAAAGAAAAAGTATGAAAAGTGAAAAATTCGTCATCCAATAAGATGTTTTTTCTATGTGGAATTGCTGACTTTGCTTTGTTTGAATAGGATCACATTGCACTTTAGAGACTAGGAAATTACTAACCATTCATTGATAAAGAATTCTTTGTATGAAATAACTTTTATATTTTTGGCACACTGATAAATATTGAAAACAATATTTTATGGTAAACATTTCATCACTTTTCCTATTTTTACTAAGCTTTAAAAGGCAGACTCATTATTTGGGGCATGGTATCATTGAAATATTTTATATATCATATCAAGAGGCACTGATTCAAATTCTTTAGATTACAACCTCAAAAACTTAAAATTTTCTACTTTATAATAATCTGCCATGTACTACAGTGATCGATAACTTGTGAATTTTAAGAAAGGTAGTGATATACTTCCTAGTTTAATATTTTACTTTGTTCATATTCACTTTTGTGTATAACAGGAGGAAACTTAACGGGATTACATCATGATACTGACAATTTATCCTTCTTTGAATGCATTTTTAGTTTGCAATATATGTTGTTCAAAATTGTTCTCCTTATTTTACAAATATCCCTTTAATATTTCTCAAAAGTCTGTTGATTTGCAAATAAAATGGAAGTATCTACACATGGATTGCATCAGTCAAAATTTTCTAGGAAAACATTTCCTTCATGAAATGCTGAGAGAAACTTAACCGTTCAGGCGATGTGTGACTTATTAGAATAACTTGCTATCCTTTTGTGATTTTACTTCTTCTGTTTTTCACTTCTGCAGAGCCAAAATTTATAGGTTCATACATGATTCCTGATAATGAAGACCGAGATGACAACAAGGTGTATTTCTTTTTTACTGAGAAGGCCCTGGAAGCAGAAAGCAGTGCCCACACAGTTTACACCAGAGTGGGGCGACTTTGTGTGGTGAGGATTCCTTTCTCTTTATGCTTGCTTATCTCACAATTTACGGTCAGGTCTTGCTTGATTACGTAGCAGGTTTCCAATTCTAAATATTTTTTAGTATTCTGTAGATTGCCTAAAAATTGCATTTGCTATACTTTAAAGTTCATATCTAGTCACAGTTTTATCTCCAGAGCCTCATATTTAGCATGATTTCTGAAAACATAACTGAAAAATAGTATCTAATTAGAATTGTCACACAGAAGTTTGATATTTGTTAAATTATGAATTAAAACATCTATAGTTTGTTGAGCAGAGAGGTTGTACAGGAAAACCCAAAACCCACTGAAGTAGCACATACTGAGAGAATGCTAACACAAATATGAAATTACTTTGGCATTTAATGCTTAAGAATAAATCTAAGGTTAATATATATTCACACGTATGTATATATTCACGTGTGCGGGGAGTGTGTTTTCAGCTTTACTAAGGAAAAAAATGGATATGTTCATATTCCTGATACAGGTGGATAATTTAGCAATAAAGTAGTCAAGATTAGTATATCATAAAACTCATTGCTTGAGAGAGAAACCACTATTTTAATACCTAAAAAATCTATTTAACATACCAGAGTGAAGTACACTGAAATGAGAGAATGTGGAAGCCAAAATACGCACATATGTGAATTGCATCTATGTTACAGTTGAGGATTGTGATAACTTTTCATAAACTGCAAAAGCCATACCTCTCAATATCTACATATTTTTATAGTATAAAATCTATTGGTAAAAGTTCTTTAGGTAGATACCTGTTTGCCTGCTTTTCGTCTTTCACAGAATGATGTGGGAGGGCAGAGAATACTTGTGAACAAGTGGAGCACTTTCCTGAAAGCCAGGCTGGTTTGCTCTGTCCCAGGAATGAATGGAATCGATACGTATTTTGACGAATTAGGTAAATGCTATTCAGTGAATTAAATTTCATTCTTGCTGTGTATTCTCTAAAACTCTCTTTAGCACACAGAAAACTTGTTCTGGTGATTTTCCCTCCTTTGAAAGGAAAACCCATCAGTCTCTGTCCTTGTCATTGTGGCCAGGCTGATGTGCTGGGGGCAAAAAAGTTGCGGGAACAAAAAGACTCATATCAGCTTAGTGTCAGTGTTGCTGGGTTTTCCTTGTGATTCAGCTCAAAATAGGCACATGATTCATTGTCATGATGTGGTTGAGGTTGTACGATTTTACATGGAAACTTGTAACTTAATATCTATATTGGATTCTAAACTAATTTATGTGGCTATATTTTCTTTGTATGCTAAGAGCTGAAAATAGTAAGTGATGGAACTGTCTTTACTTTTTCAGAGGATGTCTTTTTGCTACACACCAGAGATCATAAGAACCCAGTGATATTTGGACTCTTTAACATGACCAGGTGAGTTATTTATGCAGTCAATAAAAATGATATGAGATGTCTCACTGGACCACCCTTCTTGGTCTACATAACTTGAAATACTATTGCCATTCTCATTGTCTATGACTGATAAGTCACCAATTTAGCCTCATTCTCCTGTGTTCACAAATGTACTTCCATTTCAAAGCCCCGATCTCAAATCCTTCTTTCTGTTAGCGCCCCTTCATCCTCTTGGGCTATAACCTACTCCTTAATCCCCTTACTAATCTATAACAGAATGTTGTTTTTCTCATGTATTTTGTATGATATTTCATGCTATAATCTAGGATAATTATTTCATTCAGATAGAATTTTCAAGTCAGGTTTTCAAGGCTCTCTATCAACTATTACCTACTCACCACTGGAAAGTTTTCTGAGTTTTCTAAACTTCTGCTTGTAGCAGGATAATACCTTGACAGATGCCATTTCACACCCGCTTTGCTCGTTTCCATAACTATGTTTATTCACCAATGTTGCTGGAAATGACTTTCTTTTCTGATGTTGATTTACATCAGTTCTCTGGTACGTGCCAATTGCCATCTCTGAGAATCTTTTCTTCATTTCTGAATCACGACACATTTTTCTGGCTCTTTTATTCTACTTGTCCTGCCCCAATGTTCATTTGTAGTGAACTCCACCTTTACTATTTGCTATCCATCTTTTGGATTTGCTGCTCAAGTTTCTTACAACTTATTGTTTAACCTTTTATATTTTGTATTTTTGTACTTATATTATTTCATGTGTACTGATACATGAACAAAAATACTACAATCAGTTTGGGTTTCAAGTTTACACAGACAATTTCCTGAGTATCTTTTCAAATAGAGCAGAGTGAGGGCAAAAGGATTGTGCCCCTCAGTTCTCTGGACAGGCATAGAAGGATATACTGAGTTAATCTTGTACATTGTAGGCCATAAAACGTCGTATAATTGTTCATACTGTACTTATTTGGGGCCTTTTCACACAGGTTTTTGTTTAGATTTTTCAGCCTGTAATTTATAGTGCTCACTTTGAAACAAAAAATATCTTTGTACAAATATCCTGCTATTGTAAAGAGACCATTTCTTTAACAGAGAAACATGGAAAATTTTTTCCTATCAATCATTAACAGTTAATTTAGCTTGGTAGTTATTACAGTCCACGGAAAGTTCTTAACCAAGGGTGTGGCCTTCTAGGTCTTTAAATGTGGTTTTGGCTGAATACCAATTTTACAGAAAAACTTTTATTTTCATTAATACTTTTTTTAAATATTTGTTTTATTTTTAAAATGAGTTTATCCAAAATACCAAAGAATAAAATAAGTTTCAACAAGATAATCCTCCCAGATTAATAGGCACAGTGAGAACTGCAGTAAGTCGTAATGGGCTAAACTGGCGTCTGCTCCACTGCTGATCTCTGCTGACTTTCCTTCCCTGACTGCTGCCACTATGGCCCGAGGCTGGTTGGCAAGAGTGTGTGGGGCTGTATGCCAGTTATCAGCTTTTCACAGTGCCCTAGGTTTCTTTTTGAAGTATAATTTGAATAGTTACACAACTCAACAGTATTTTTTAAATTCTGTCTGCTAAATAGCCACCATCTCAAAGAAGACCAAGAGAACACTAAAAAATGTAGATTTTTAAATGAGAATTAAGCACGACAGTACACGTATTATCTTGTTTCTGCTAATGACAATTTGCTTGCTTTGTGATACTGCAATATCAACCTTAAAGAAGTTCAGTGCTCCTCAGCATTGGAACACGCATAAGGACCACAGATATTTTAAGCTAGAGGTTGAAGCATTTAAGGTTGTGTTGTAGAAATTAAAGATGAAAAGTGAAGATGGTTCTTTCAAGCAGCAATTGCCACTGAAGCAATATATAAGGAATCTTATATACTCAGAGGAAAAGGAGAGCCATGAAGCAGTGTAGAGACTGTGGAAACTGCATTGTCAAATGATAGTGATACCAGAGTTCCAGGCTCTTGGTCTCAGCAGTTTGAAGAATGAAGCAACAGACCACAGGATCAGCAGTAGATTAGGTTTTATTTAATAATACAAGTGTTACAGCTCTCACAAAGAACCAAACCCCCTTGCTCTCCTGCTCTCTTTTGGAGGTCTGTATTTGGGCTCTCTGCTTAGGGGCTTATATAGTGGCAGGTCCTTATGAGTTATGGTCAGTTGTCCAATGAGCTTTCACGTCTTGAAAACAGACCAATCTGGAGCAGGTTTTGGAAACAGCCCAATCAGGGATGCACTGGAGGAATTGACTTGCCGGAAGTCCATGTGAGGAGATAGCATGGTGCCAGCGTCTTCCCCCCCTTGTGTCCAGCCAAATTTCTCCATTCACTGCAATAGCAACAGGTCCAGGGCCAAGGTGGTTGGTCTTGGTGCCACTTTGTTCAGCATCAATAGGAAGCTTAGACCCCCCCCCCACCCCCAGTAACATTTCAAAGTATAGACAACTGCCTCTTTCAAGGAGAACCATAACTGATTGGCCATATGAATTGGCCTTCAACTTTTCAGAACTTCATATAACACTTCAAAAAGAAAATATATATTATTTAATGGCTTTGGATGAATCAACTGATACTGACTCACAGATCTTATACTTCACTAAGGTCATAACAGAAAATTTTCTTTGCTCCAAAGAGATACTTGCTTTGGGCACTCTTGCAAATGGGACACAATAGATATATCAACTTTCAAGATATACATTGTGAAGTCGGAGTGTATTTGGTAAATTTAGTGAGGACAGACAGTGCACATTCCATAACAGGAAAACATGAAGGGTCGCTGCACAGATCTAAAAAGTATGGACAGATGCAGATGCTCGTTTCCTCTCATTTTACTCTGCATTAGGAAACCCTCTGTGCTAATGCTGCTATTTTCAGTGAGACTGTGCAACAAGTCATAAGCATTGTTACCCGTCTTCCTGCAAATGCAACATGGCATCCTCAGTCGAAATTATACTACATTTGAATCATGAGGTACTGTGGACTTGCCTTGTTCTAAAATATGTTGGCTATCAAAGGGACAAGTGTTAGTTAATATCTTGTCTCTGAAAATAGTCAAAGTTGATGAAGAACTGGATCAGCCACGTAAATTGTTGAAAGCTTTCTTTAGAAATTCAGCATTCCGTGTAATATGGCAAATCTAAACAATTTGAATATTTTGAGGCAAGGTGAAACTAAGTCTGTATATGATGATATATGGCAAAAAAAAAAAAAAAAGAAGTCTAAGCACTTTGAGAAAAGGCTATCTTTCTTCTAAGGAAGTAAACACCTCTGTAAGAAAAACATACATGCTTTGTATGGAACCAGAAAATACTCTGAGTACCCAATGCAACCTTACATAATAAAAACAAAGCAGGTGGCATGACCTTACCAGACTTCAAGCTATGCTATAAGGCTATAGTAACCAAAACAGCTTGGCACTCACACAAAAACAGAGAGAGAGCTATGGATCAGAGCAGATAACCCAAAGATGAAACCATCTTCATATTCCCATCTGATTTTTGACAAAGCAGATAAAAACACACACTGAGGGAAAGAATCCCAATTTAATGAATGGTGCTTGGAAAACTGGATTGCCACACGTAAAAGACTAAAACAGAACCCATACCTCTCAGCACTCACAAAAGTTCATGATGGATAAAGACTTAAGTCTAAGGCGTGCAACTATAAGAATTCTAGAAGAAATGTTGGAAAAACTGTTACAGATATCAGCCTCAGGAAAGATGTTATGAAGACCTCAGAAGCAATAATAGTAACAATGAAAATAAACAAGTGTGACCTGATCAAGTTTAGAAGTTTCTGCCCAACCAAGGACACAATTGAGTAAATAGCCCACATAAGGGAAGAAAATATTTGTGCCCTATATATCCAGTAAAGGGCTGTTACCAGAATCTAAAAAGAACTCAAGGAAATCAGCAAGAAAAAAAATCAAACAATGCCATTAAAAAGTGGGTAAAAGACATAATCAAAAACTTTCCAAAGGAAGATCTAGTCTGATGCCAATGCACATGAAAAATTGCTCAAAAGAATTGTTCAAAAGGAAATCTTGGATGAACACTTTCCCTTGTTGGCAAAGGTCATTGCTGAGCAGGGTGACATATGCAAATCATGTGAAGACTACACAGCTGTTATAGACCTATTAATTGGAGAATATAATGAAAGCTTCACTTACTTTGACAATCATCACGTAACATTCAAATTAGCATTTCGGCCTCACCTAGCTGAGATCACAAAGGTACTTAAAGAACTACAGATGGAATTGTTTGAGCTCTCAATTGGTGGCATTTTAAAAATCATTGAAATGGAGAAAGATCCAATTGAAATATGGAAAAATGTAGCAGAATATTCGTATGTTTGTCAACATGCACCAAAATGTGCTATCTGGCTTTTCAACCACTTATTGCTGTGAATCCACCTTCTCCTACATAACCCAAATCAAGATGCCCTCAAGGCCCCAGATGACAGATACCCTCCTACAGGATCAACTGGAACTGTGATGAATACTCCAATGCTTTCCAACAAAAAGCTGGCACAAAGTCATTAAAAGGTTAACTTTAAAATTCATAGTTTATCTGTTGAAGTCATGAAGTACATAGATTTTTATAAAATAATGTACATTTTAAGGTATATAACTGAAGTTGCTTGGTGTGGCCTTATGACAGATAAAGTAATGCAACTGCCCAGCCCTAAAATGTCCCCACCCGTCTCTAACTATTTTTCTTTTTACTTCCTTATCTTTATTATGCTTGTCAATAATTTATGCATTGCATGAGAATTTAGTGTCTTTATATGATATATTCAAGCTACGAGATAGTGTTATTTTTCTGTGCCTTAGTATGATCACTTTATAAGCTCCTCTCCTAAATGACAGCCCAGTAGAGCTTTCTGAGAAATCCAGGACAAGACATGATTTTCTTCCATAATTTCATTTTTGATTGTTTGACTTATATAAAAATCTGAAGACAAAAGCTTCCCAGCTGTTACCTGACATACAGGTTGATTTTTGTAGAATGGTGATCAAAGGTTGACGGCCACCTTAGTTGCAGGTTTTCCCAGGATTCTCGGCATTTCCAACTGCTCCAAGGTGCTATAAAATGTGTGAACTGATGTCCCAGGACAGTAACTTGACAGCTGTTTTACGGGTGTCTCTGGGTGTAGGAAATTTTATGTCGATATAGAACTTTGCATCTTTATAAAACATTTTTACAAGCATTTTGATTCTTTCAATAGGGAGGCTAAGACAATGTTGTAAATTAAGAGGTAGGGCCAGATTAATTTTTTTTGCAGAACAAATTGCAAATGTCCCCTATAAAAATTGATGTAGTAAGTCAACTACTTTCTTTATCTTCTCCAAGTAGAACGTTTTTATTTTTTCCACTGATGTTCTTTCAAGCAAGTAGAATTTTTAATCAATGAGATAATTTCATTGGCTGCTGGTTCTGGAAATGTACCTGAGTTTTATATAATTGAAATAATTATCTCAAGGTTACTATATCTGGTTAAATCATCTTTCCACTATAGTACGGTTTTCTGTGACCTGGAGGAAGGAATATACTCACATGTTAATATCTATGTAAACACAAACTAGAAAATACAAATCCCTAAATTTTCATGAGACTAAATTGTTCTTTGAATTATATACCCTAAGAAATTTAATAAAATACGAATAGATTTTGTAGCAATTTTAACAGCACCGTGATTGAGAGGACAGTATTTACCGTGAAGCTAGAACATTAAAGGAAATACCTTAAAATGTGTAATAACTAAACTTGGGAATGAGTCTTTAATATTAAAGCCAGATAATTTTTAATAATAAAAACAAAATATAGGACTTTATAAAGTGACACAACTACTTTCTGATAATGTCATGAAAAGTTATGTGAATTTCAAGGAATGGTAAGTTTGAGTTTCAATACTTTATATCACAATAATGTTATTTCTAGCATAATTATATGCTATAAAGAAATTATAGTTTTTTTATTCAAAAGACTTGACTCTCACACAGGTAGGGTGGAGCAGGCTGGGTGACCTGCTAGGATAGTAACGATGTTTTTTGTACTTTTCAGTAATATATTTCGAGGGCATGCTATATGCGTCTATCACATGTCTAGCATCCGGGCAGCCTTTAATGGACCATATGCTCATAAGGAAGGACCTGAATATCACTGGTCAGTCTATGAAGGAAAAGTCCCTTATCCAAGGCCTGGCTCTGTAAGTCTAGTCATTTGACAAAGTATTATGTTTCAAAAGATCTTTTGGTAATACTTTGTTCCACTGTTTCACATGTTTTATAAGACTGCAATTAACAATTAAGCAATTCTATACCTAAAAGTATGATTGATAAAATATACGGTAAATAAATCTGAAGCTCTTGGTTAATGGAAAAAATCTATTATGGATACACCTGAGCAGGACTACAAATACTTATTAACGTTTTGGCCAAGTAGCACGATTTATATGAGTGCTGCTGGACACACATTCAGTAAGAGGAGCATACTATTCCTCTTAGCCTCTCCAGAAATGTTAGCATCACATGGCATTTCCAAGCAAGAAACTGTCGCCAAATTTTCATATTCTAATATTTGATCAGCCTCAAAGATCCCTAGGACAAACTTTCTCCTTACTTCTCACTTTAGCAGATCTAAAAAGTTTTTTTTTTTTCCCCCTCTCTATATCCTAAATGCCTCCTATGTCTTTGCCGGCCTCTTAGAAGAAAACATGTCAATTCAAAAATACCACTAGAAAGATAAGACCTTCTGTCACTTGCCTCTAAAGCAGTCTTACTAAGATTCTTAGCTCCCCACTTACACGTTTGTGCCTAAAGATGTGTGCCTAAAGATGGTGATGGTAATGATTTTGTTCCATGTATCCTTTGTGCAGTGAGGTAGGAAAAATACTAGATCACTGTGTGTTCTGTGGTGGCCATGAAGAGCAAACACGTAACTTGTCACACAAGTTAATATCTGCACTTCTATGAGCAGCTGGTGAAATCCCTCACTACGCTGATTCTATAATCACTTACAAGTAAGTAGAAACCATTTTGGCAGAGCCAAAACCCAAAGTGAAGACAAAGCTCACCTCCATTCATAAGTGTAGGGCTTTCCCATTTCAATCACTCTCACTAGGTTAAAATTATTACTTCCAGTAGGACGCGAAGTGTACTTTACTTCACCCGACTGATTGAAATTGCAATTTAAATGGAGGAAACCCTCTCCTGTGGCTTTGCTGGGAATGCTTCTTGAAACCACATGGTCTTAAAGGAGATTTGGAGGAAGTGACTGGTTACTGAACTGCTTCCAGCCTAGTCCAAAATGTTTCCAATTATATATCATGAAAGTACACTCAAGTGAGAAATTCAGGCCAAATTAAGAAGTATGGCCTGATTTTTAAAACCAAACCATTATAAATGGCCTTTTTGCAGAATGTGATTCTTACACTAACAAATTTATACTCTAAAAGTGGAAAATTTTTATCAAGATAATCACTGCAGTTGTTGCTGGTTCTGGAAGAAAATATGTGAAATGAAGCAGCACTTATTAATAAGCATGAATCAACACATTTAAAGGTTTTCACAATAAGTAGTTAAAAAAGCTAGTGAGGATTTTATTTTAGAGTCCATAATTTAAAAATTAACGTTATAGCAAATATTTTTGTTTTCCCAGTTCTGTCTATTCTGCACAAACATTATGCAAATTTATACAGGTTATACTGGAACAGATAACTATTGATGGAAAAAGTTCTTAACAATAATATCTGAATAGGTTTCTATGTTATGACACAAAAATTCTATAGTTAGCGAACCCATTGAGCCATCAGTAATCCTATCACAATTTCAATGATGGAGCAGCTGCTTTGTACAGTTGTAGCCCTTAGTTTTGAGAAAAGTTTTAGCACAGCAAAGAACCTTTTTGTTTTGTCTAAATAGGTCATTCACCTTCAAAATTAAACTTACAATGTGAAAAATAAATTTCAAAAAGGGAAAATAAGTTGATGTTGACGATATTAAACACTTTTAGCGCTTTCCAACTGTCTTGGTATTAAACATACTTTCCTTTTCCAGGATCTCTCTGCTTTTTCTCTATTTGTAGTGTTATGCTTGAAATAATTTTGTTTTTGCAATTTTTAAGCAGATTCCACTTTAGCAATGAAAAAGTATATGGTCCCTAACTTTCTAAATGCCCTATTGATAATTGAACATATTCTAATTCTTCCCATAATTGATTATAAATATGCTCTTTAGGTTTAAGTCAAAAAGACTTATCGAATCCATGTGCATTTCAGTGTGCCAGTAAAGTAAACGGGGGGAGATATGGAACCACCAAGGACTATCCCGATGATGCCATCCGATTTGCAAGAAGCCATCCCCTGATGTACCAGTCCATAAAACCTGCCCATAAGAAACCAATATTGGTAAAGACAGATGGAAAATATAACCTGAAACAAATAGCAGTGGATCGAGTGGAAGCTGAAGACGGCCAGTATGATGTCTTATTTATCGGCACAGGTAAAGAGATGTGAACATACTCATTTAAATTGAACCTAAAAAAACAATATTTTTTTAAATGCCTCTCAACAAATATGTTGATCTATTATTCCTTTGTATATTGATAATCTCTAGTGAGAAAGGCTGAAATAGTCTTCACATGATTGCAACAATAAGAGTTTACATCTACTATCTGGGAATAATTATCACCATTATCACTTTCATTGTCAAAGTGTCACAGTTTGGACAAGTATGGGGCCACCCTTATTCCACACGTTAGAAATATTGAAGCTATTAGAAGGGAGATTGGGGACTGTTATAGCACCTAATTCCTGATACGTGGTCAATGCTTAATTCATTTGAATAAATGAAGAAATAAACAATAAATGTTAACAAACAGGTTGGTTTGAAATAGAACTTCTCAGAGTAGAAGTAGAGTGTTGTAGCAAAAATGGTCCTCCTGTAGGTCTCCCAGCCTCATGACCGTCTCTGGAGGCTCAGTGAGGCTTTAAGATTTTCCAAACAACCTGGAACAATAATTTTATATATACCTATAATCACAGTAATTCTTATCAGGCCCTAACATAATCAACCTTGTGTACCAAGCTGGCCAAAAATACTCTCTAACACCCTGCATCAACAAAGTTTGATGAGTATGTTAAATGTAAAATTTTCAAATAAATTTATAATTTCAATTCATGCTATAACATAAATAGCATAACTTGTGATGAGACCTTAGAAACTTACAGCCCCCAGAGTTATATGTAGCAAATTCTGTGAATTTAAAATTCTGTACTAACATTAAATGTGTTTTAAATGATCCTTTTCCCCTCTATTTTTTGTGGCATAGTAAATGCTATAGCAGTTCAGGAGCATGACCATTATACCGTACATAATGCTGGTCATAAACAAATTGGCATATACCTGCGTCAGGAGTCAGGATGGAATATTAATATTAGTTCTTAGGCTTCTCTAATCCTTTCTTTTTAGAAAGCAAAATTTAAGCAAGGAATACTTCATCTTATTTCAAGAAATTGATCTCAGTGCAGGCTCTATCTATTTATGTTAGAAGGTTAATATTAATAATGTTCTCTCCACTGTGGGTTCAAGATTATCAAAGCATCAGATTTAACAAACTTGAAATTACACAGCCATAATTTCTCTCATAGTGACTTCCAGTCAAATTTTAAAAAAGGACTTTCAACACCAAGACAAATATTTGGTAAAATGGGTCAAAGATTGTTACTTTAAAATGCCTGGGAAAGTAGAAGACATTCGTAAGAGTTGAAATTTCATTTAGAAACACCTACTTGTCAGGTGGGCCCATAGCCATTTGAGAGAGTTCCAGAAATATCAGATACATATGTATTATTATATAAAACATGTTACTCAAAGATCATAGTAAACCACATAGTTTCAAGAAAAAAGAAAATGTTTGATGGAATGTGGTGAGTACAACATTGGAAAATACCACAAATGATAGTTATTTTTCTCAGTATTATGAGACATGGGATTTAATACATATATGTAGCCCTTATTGCAAAATCAATAGTTATAAATTAATGATGAATTTCATCTTTGATTTTTGTTTGATAAAGTAATTGTGAAACATTTAAAATCTGTGCTTGGTTTTTTAAAATGACAGTTTTTGTTCTTTTTAGTTAGTGTACAAGTTTATTTACTCACCTATGAGAATTGATAGTTTTTCAACAAACTACTGCAATACAAAAGCTTTTAGATAATGACGAAAGTAATTTTCTCCTGAATTATATCTAGCATTACATCAAATTATTTGTGTATTTTTGCTTCCTTATAGATAATGGAATTGTGCTGAAGGTAATCACAATTTACAATCAAGAAACAGAATCAATGGAAGAAGTAATTCTAGAAGAACTTCAGATATTCAAGGTATTTTAAATTTCATCTTTATGAAATCCAGATGTGTTATAGACAATTAAAAGTGCAATGTAAATAAGAAAATATATATTAATTTCTCTTCCAACAGATGAGTTATAGATTCAGAGCAAATTGAAGTGAGAAATTTAAAATGTTGATGCTCCTATTTGATCAATATAGACCTTTCAGAATAAAAGACACTTATACTTAGCATGAAAAAAATTTCAAATATGTGCCAGGCATGCTGGCTCACACCTGTAATCCCAGCACTCTGGGAGGCCAAGGTGGGTAGATTGCCTGAGTTCAGGAGTTCAAGACCAGCCTGAGCCAGAGTATCTACTAAAAATAGAAAAAGTAGGTGGGTGTTGTAGGGTATACCTGTATTGTCCCCAGCTACTCTGGAGCCTGAGGCAAGAGATAGCTTGAACATGACAGTTTGAGGTTGCTATGAACTAGGACACCAGGGCACTCTACACAGGGCCAGAGAGGGAGACTCGGTCTCAAAAAAAATTAATAATTTTAATGTACTAATCATGACTACAGAGAGTTAACACTTAAGCCACATATAAATTTCATAATTATTACAAAGTCACATCATATACAAATGCCCTATTAACACTGAAAAAATTCATTCTTATATAGTGAATATTGTGGCATGATAAACACACAACTTTGTCATCATGTATTAGTTACAAACATTTAACTGAAAAAATAGAAAATGATAATAGAATGATTAGACAATTTATCTGTGCAAGTGCAGGTGTATATTGCATAGACATACAGTCATGTTGCATTATTCACAGCAGCTTTAGCGTCTCTAGTCACAGTGAACACTGTATCAGCGAATACTGAATACTGGTCCTTGGGGAAATACAGGGTAGGTTACTGCAAATTTCTGGTTATAACATTTTTGTCAACTGACGAATATATAACCTTATTTTGTGTGTACCTATGTTTATTTTATTTTTTTTTTCGAGACAGAGCCTCAAGCTGTCCCCCTGGGTAGTGTGCCATGGCTTCACTGCTCACAGCAACCTCCAACTCCTAGGCTCAAGCGAGTCTCCTGCCTCAGCCTCCCAAGTAGCTGGGACCACAGGCACCCGCCACGACACCTGGCTATTTTTTTGGTTGCAGCCATTATTGTTGTTTGGCGGGTCCGGGCTGGATTCGAACCCGCCACCTAAGGTGTATGTGGCTGGCGCCTTAGCCGCTTGAGCCACAGGCGCCGAGCCTGTATACCTATGTTTAAAGGCATCTTATTTAATATGTATTAACATTGAACTCAAAGCCAACAGCATATAAGTCATGCCTAAACGAAATTTATCTAAGAAAGGAATTCCTGCATTAAAGCACATCACAGCCTTTTGAGCTTGGGCACACCAAATAATAATTCCGCACTGCACTTGAGGGCCGTTTAACAAAAACAAAACACCAACCAAAAGCACAGAAGTAAGAAAATCATGGCAGTCATTAGTCCATGAAAAGGCCCCAGGTTTACTCTATGAAAGCTGAAACAAGGCAGGATGTCACCTTGTTCCATCTCAGCTGGAAATGTGGGTGGTTTTTCTTTTTTAAGAGACAGAGTCTCACTTTATTGCCCTTGTGCTGTGGTGTCACAGCTCAGCAACCTCCAACTCCTGGGCTTAGGTGATTCTCCTGCCTCAGCCTCCCGAGTAGCTGGGACTACAGGCGCCCACCACAAAGCCTGGCTATTTTTTGGTTGCAGTTTGGCCCTGGCTGGGTTTGAACCTGCCACCCTCGGTGTATGGGACCAGTGCCCTACCCACTGCACCACAAGCGTGGCTCGAAATATTGGCATCTTGTGACTCAATTTTTTGCCATTCTTTGCAAATATATGTCCTTCAATAAAAAACAAAACATTATTGATATTTGGGTTAAAAATTAATTTTAGCAAGCAGACAAATTTCAAATACAGAACCTACAAATAACAAGGATTAGCTATATATGTGCGTAACGGGTATATGTGAAAATACTTTAGGAAAATTAGTGCATTTGTTGTTGTCTGTGCTGGAGATCAGATTCCCCAGAGCCACACCCCGAGGCTAACCTCCCTCCTATATGCCAGAGCTGGTATGCTTTTTTGTTTATTTTGCATATTAGACATTTATGTACAATACCATTTCATGTTAGGTTTTGTTCATATAAACCCTTACACATTGTTACCTCAATAAATAAATGAAGGTATGCATCATAAAGATTCTGTAGTTTAAAAAAATTTTAAGCCTACTGAGCTAGAGGATCAACTGTTCTTTTAAAAAGTAATTCCTTTATAGATAATCATCTCCAGAACGGAGTGTACCCGCCTCATCTTGCAGGTGAAATTCTCCACGTGCAGAACTGATCTGAGTTTGTTGAGCTCCTTCGAGACACTTTAGTCTTTTATTAGTTTGACGATATTTGAGTTTCCAAAACATGAGTAATATTCAAATGGAAATACCAAAGCTACACTCCTGAGACAAACGGCACGTTGGTTATGTTAGCAGTTGATTCTCCCGTGTACATCTGTTACGCTCCATTAGAAAAACAAATAAAGATATATTTTAACATAATTGCATTTGCTTTTTTGTTTACTCTAATGGAAGTCATAGGCTGTTTGTCACAGAACCAGTCACATATCTAAATTGTTTTGAGGGATTTGCAGTCATATTAAGATACATATTTTTTCATTGAAAAGGAATTTGTTTCTTTAATTTCAGGATCCAGTTCCTATTATTTCTATGGAGATTTCTTCAAAGAGAGTAAGTTGTGTGTGCATGCATGTGTGCTCTGCATGGGAGTTAAGGTCAAAAGATATAGAACATGACTAAATGTACTGATATATATGAACAAGTTACAGTTTTATTTTCTTATTGTAGGAAGAACACGTAAAGCGGGTAGGTCTCGTGTTAAGTGTGCCATCTTATTGCCGACTACAGGGGCAGTGTTGAGCAAATCTCTAGGCAGGTGTCCTCAAACTATGGCCTGTGGAACACATGCGTCCCGCCGAGGACATTTATCCGGCCCGCCGGGTGTTTTTGCCGCCGCTGTCTGTCCTGCTTAGCAGCCGACTCCTCCCGGGACCACAGTCCGGCCCTCCAACGGTCTGAGGGACAGTGAACTGGCCCCCTGTTTACAAAGTCTGAGGACCCCTGCCTAGAGTTTGGAGTTTACTCATCTTATTTAACTTTATCCTTATTAATTGATTCTGACAGATTTATATAGTGATTTATATTAATAGATGTCTCCAGTTTCTTCATCTACAGAAAGGTAAGAGTAGTTCATTTCCACAATCCTGATAGCACAGTATCCCTAACGACTTTTCACAAATTTTTGTATAAAATCATGAAAGCCATGATAATCTGAGTATATACCGTGAAATGTTACTCTTTCACTTTGCTGAACTCCATTTAGGGTATAAAACTTCTCCAGAAACAGTTGCTGCATGGATTGCCTCCAATTTATAGTTAGGCAAGTGAGAACTTACATTAAATATTCTGCTTGTCTTTTTCACTGGACATATATGTATTTTAGTTTATTCCACGTCATTGTATATATCCACAATCTTTTAAACATTTCTATATTTAAAAGACCATTTACTTATCCTGTCTCTTCTTTGACGTTCTTAAAAATCTTTGGAGGAAGACCTGCATTATTTGATAACGCAAGATAATGAATAAAAGAATACACTTCTCCTTGGGTTTTTATATTACGCTTCGTTCAGCAATCTTGCTAAATTATTCATTTAAGTTTATAAGCATATTTTAAATTTGAGGGAAATGAAAGGATCAGGATACCATCATCTATCCTGGGCAACTAAAACAATATGAGTCTTAATATTTGCTTGAGGTGATTGTGTATAAATGGAAATCTAAGTGTAATAGCTCCATGAAAGTTCTGTCCATTTCTGCTAGTGGCCTCTTTCTGATTTCTATAGCAACAGCTGTACGTTGGATCTGCTTCGGCCGTGGCTCAAGTCAGATTCCATCACTGTGACATGTATGGCAGTGCTTGTGCTGACTGCTGCCTGGCTCGAGACCCTTACTGCGCCTGGGATGGCATATCCTGCTCCCGGTATTACCCCACAGGCACACACGCAAAAAGGTGAGACGTCATGCCCAGAGGAATGTTTCCATTGTTTAAAACAAAAAAATCCCACTGCTTTTTGTGGTCTTTTTTTTTTAACCCATTCCACAAAGAATATTCATGCTATTTTTATTTAATATTATAAACAAAATATGACTGTAAATATTGAAAGCTTGAGTTGTTCCTGAAACTACCTCCCTTCATTATTGTAGAGAAAGACTGGAGCCCAACACACTGTTGGGCTTTTTTTTTTCCACCCAGGTTTGAATCAACTTTTCTCTCTTTTGAAACTTTTGCTGCCAGGCATGAAACAAGTTTGGATAAATTTAAAATGTGGAAATGGCAAGCTACCACACATAAGGGATTCAAAGACTTAAAAAGAAAATAAATAAGTTCTAAAATATATCCTGCGGTTGCCCCATGTCCCCTCTGCCAGCTGGTCTTCATTTATTTCATTTTGAAAGTGAATATTTTAACTCCTAGGCAAATGCATGACCTGTATAATTAATGAAATGTGTGATTTAATTCAACACAAATGAAAAGTACTTAAAAACCTCCAGATTCCAATGTGTGCGATTCTGTAAGGTCATTGCCATTTCTTAGAGAAGGTAATTCCCAATGCTCTTCAAAGAGGATCTTAAGGTACAGAAAATATTTTGAAGAATAAGGATATTTCTTCATTCAAGACATATGAAGTTGTACTTTAGGAAAATATACTAGGAACAATATTTTTGCTTCTATACAAAAGTATTTTTTCTTCTTATACTTAAACAACCAAAGACAAAATAAAGCAAAATTGAGAACTATATAAAATTTCCCTACTGGAAAGCAGTTTGTATTAACTTCCATTATTCTTATTACTTCACTTCAGGTTATTTTTCTTTAAACCTTTCTCAGAATCTAATTTAAGCCAATTGAGTACAGTTCTTATTTTTATAGGTTCACATTGATAGTAGAATTTCATTAGAAACTTCACTATTTTAAAACTCTTGGTAATTTGACCCGAGCTAAATGAACATTCCAGTGAGTATTTCAAGAAAAGGCCCAAGAAGCACATAGTGAAAAGATGTGTTGAGGTGACAGTTCTGAAGTAAATTTACCAATGATGTTTAAGAATTGAGCAAAATAATTTATTTGCTTATTGATATTTGGAAATAAGTTTTGAAGAATATAGTCATATTATTTTAGAATATTGATTATCGATTTAGTAAGCCAATTACTATACCATGTGCAAGGTGTATGAAAAATAATCATAACCAACCAACAAGAAATAGAATTGTAGATCTAGTAGTAGTTTATTATTGAGCACTTACTACGTATAAGGTACTAGACGAAGTGCAATGCACACAATACTTTCTCAAATTAACCCACCCTAAGCTCATTCTCAAAGGTAAAGGTACAAGAGATTCTAGTTCAGAGGAATTAATTATCTGTGCAAAGGCATAGAACGCTTAGAAAAAACAATGCAGTTCCATGGGTCAGATGCAAAGTTATTAGGATATGAAGATGGAAATTTTATCAATAGTAATAATTTTGTTGTCATTGGTAATAGAAATGTTGATAAGCTTAGCACCAAAGGCTCATAAATACCAAAGTTTATTAGGCATACAGCAGTATGCCTGAATTTTAACCCAGCAGTCTCCATAGTTAAATCTTTTCTGGTATACGGTGCATCTTTTTAAAGTGTTCAACCACAAACTTGATAATATCTTCAGAAAATGTGGATTTAAAGAGTTACTTAGGAAAAGTTAAGTGAATGGACAAAAGCGTAGACAGGAAGACGTGAAATGCCAGAGTCAGAAAGCGAGCTCAGTTCCCTGACATGTAACGGAGATCTTTCAGTGGTGTCGAATTCTTTTGAACCATCACTCATTCCTGGAGAACTTTTTGGATAAGTTCCAGCACATGAAAGGAAAGTAGCTTGCTTTTCTAGCAGATCACTTTTGCCTCAGGCCTGAATAGAAGCAGGAATTGAAAACTGGTCATTAAAACAAATACTTTTCGGCTCACAGGTTGAAAATGAGTCAACGGGAAAAATGTTAATTCCCCGTCCAAACCACTTGTGTAAAATGGTCGTCCAAAATACACTATAATATAGAAAGCTACATATTTTCTGCTTCCTTGTTTTTGTATTTTCTCTATTTCTAGTGTTCTCCTAAAAAATTTCTAAGAGACTAGAGATAGGAAAAAATATGCACCTTTGAGAATGAAAGGCAACTTTGCTCAACCTTTCTCCAACTCCTGATCCTCACATGTGCCTTTATTTTTGGCGCGTTGAAATGAAGGACAACTATATTGGGAAGGTATAAGCCGAAACCTTGCTGGAGAATGTGATAGTTTTCTTTTAAAATGCATGTTTCCAATAACTTTCCACAATTTTGCACTCAACTTCTTCACATTGCTTATCTAGAATAACTTGATTTGGGGCCTCTTTATTCTCACATCAGTTATATAATAGTCTTGATATAACACCATCTCTGCAAAGTGGAAATCATTTCTCATTTCACTGATTTTTCCCTGTTATTCATTATTGCTCTGCAGACTTTTGATTCTCAATACTGAAGCAATACTCAGCAAAGCGAGGCGTTAACAGCAGTTTTATTCTCATCGAGAGCTGCGATATTTATATCATAAAATATCAAAGCATGACGATTTCTGCTTTTGCTTGCTACTTTGTAAGCTGTTTATAATCTAGTTTAATAGAATGATCCAGGTGGCAGTATTCATATTAGCTTTATAAAATACCTTTAAAGAGGCATTTTAGGAAAGATTTTTCTGATCAGAAAATCTCACATTAAATAAAGGAAAAAACTAACTAAAACTTACTTTTGTACATAGATCATAATCTTAAAAATTGGAAGTTCATCTGCTTGGCTTTAAATATCTATGAAGTTGTTTACTGATGTGTAAAGCTCCTCATCTCTTGAGATAACATTACATTATCCTTATTTAGAGATAATGATGAGAAAAAAACAGTGGAATAGATTTTAGGTGTAATTCAGCCCATTTTACAAAGGAGGATACAAGGAGCCAAGAAAGGGAAGAAATAGCATAAGATCATACAGAAAAGTTAGTGGTGGCATTAGGACTTGAATCTGGTTCACTTTTCCACATTTTATCATTGCATATGGTTAAAGCATCTCATTGTCACTTTGGAAGTTTCGTCACTGTCTAGGGAAAAAACTTCTGCTTCGCCTTCTGCTTTTCCTTCAGTCTTGAAGAAATGCCATGATTTAAAGAAGTGGTATTTTCCACCTTTACGTAATACTTCTATTTTTATCCCTAAAGTAACTATGCTAGAGATCTTGATTTTAGAATTCTAGTACTAATAATGGAATTCCCAATGTTTACTTTCTCAGAAAGATGTTTACAAATTTAGAACATGATATATTCTTGAAATTTTTATAGATATAGAATATTGTATTTTTAGTTATATATCTAAATAATCAATTAAATATAAAAATATGCTTAAAATGTTCCTAATTATCATAGGCAGAGTAAAAGGTAAAGAAACTAGTATTTGAGTCTCACTAGGTGCACAGCATCCTGTTAAACTTGTATAATACATGCATGCACACATTGAATAGAGTCATACTTTCTAAATGTTGTGTCTAAAGATTAAGCTGAGTCTAGTATAATAGTTTATCTATTAGCAATTACATTGCTAATCTTATGTTTTCTCGTGTGTACCTTATTATACATAGGAGTTTTATTTTCAAATATTTTATATACAGTATTCCACCTCAAATTCCATTGCCTTTATCTCTTACCACCGAAGACATTCATTTCAAGCCAGAAGACTTCCTCTTCAACTAAATTTTAGACAAAATGTGAAGAGAAATTTAAGTTGTTCCGTGGATATCTAGAGTTCAAAATTCTGTAAATATTTAAAGAACAGTGCTATATAGAACTATTAAAGAACATTCAGTAGAAATATTAAACTATGAAATGTAGATTTTTTGTTTTGGTTTCATATAACTGATCAATTTTTCAGGAGCAGAGTAGTGCTTGAATCCTTAAGCAGTTGGCTATATATAAAGTCTGGGAAATGGAAACACGAACATCTTCTAAATGCATTGACTTTCTTTCAGGCGTTTTCGCAGACAAGATGTTCGGCATGGGAATGCTGCTCAGCAGTGTTTGGGACAACAATTTACTGGTAATCCATAAAAGATCAATTATCGCGGGTTACTTAGAATGGACGTCAGGAGAATGAGTGCTTCCTAGAGGGTCCTCTTGGTTGTGGTTTATGTGTACTAGAATGATGTGACTACAAGTATTTTTTTCCCATGTAGTTAAAATTCTGTACCTTTGACACGCAATTTTTACACAATTAGTTTTATATGCCACCATCCACGCTTTAATATTAGATGTCAAAACAATGGAAATCTAGAACAAGAATGTTGCATTTTTAGCTAATCAAAAGCATGTCATAATAAACAAATTGAAAACAAAACAAAAAAATGCTGCATATGTAGGTAGTTCATGCCCTAACGAGTTGCAGGATTTATCTTTTTACCTCATAGCTAGGGATGTCTTCCCCACATTATATACCTTAGTGATTTATATCAAGTGATGTAACTTGTATTGCACCACTTACTGAGCTTTGGAATAAAATCAAATGAGGTTGGATAAGCTTCGTCCTGGGGCCAGTGATGTAGGTTGAATGGTAGATGGTCTGATGGCTATAGGGTAGAGAAAATTTCAGATTTAGGCAAGTATAAGACAGAAAAACACTGATTCTTCACACGATGGTGGTGGGGGGTAAATAGCCTGTGTTTAGTGGGTTCATCAGGAAGTAACAGGAGGGCACAATAATTGAGAGACCAGCGTGGTTATACACAGACCCAGAAAGTGTGATGCAGCATCAGTGTGTGAGGCCCCAGGCTGACTCAGGATTCAACGCAGGGCTCAGTGCAGGACTCAGCATCTGGGAATATTGGCAAGAAAAGGCAGGACCCGAGTCCTAGAGAACACTGGGGGTTCAGTTTCTAAGGTGACAAGGATTCAAGCATAGGGAAACATAATCCTGGGATTGCGGTTACTAAATTTGTCTTGGTTAAAACAAAAAGAATAATTCCATTTGGTTTTTTTCCACACTGCAGCTAAGTATGCTTGCCTGTATGCAAATTTAAGTTCAAGTCCAGTGAGAGTCTCTCTAGTGGAAGACATAGGATATAATTAAGAAGCCCTACTGCACAAAGTTGTTAGTCTCATCTTCTTACTGCAGAAGTTCAACACCTGGATGGGTGCAAGGCTTGGTCAAAATAGCATTCACCCTTGTGTTTATGTAATGGCCCTTTTTTGCCCAGATTTTTGCTTTCTGCTTTTGTTTGTAATTGTTAATTTGGTTCTTGCCTGGATTGTGCATTTGGTGCTCATCTTTTCTCTGCTTACCAATAGGTGATGCCATTGAGTTTCCATGACTTTAACATTGATGTTCCTTTCTGTCCTCTCTTGTCTTTTGGAACCAAATTCACACTCAAGAGCCCACTTGCACTTTTAAGTGTCTAGATTTTGGTATGCCACTGTCTAAATGCCTTTAAGTGACCCTGAATAGAAATCAGAAAAATGTAATGAGTTTCTTCAGGGAACTAAATATTTTAAGAGATTATTTACCAGGAAAATCAAAGTCATACAGCTGATATTAATATTCCTATTGTAGGGAATGCTTTGGATAAGACTGAAGAGCGGCTGGCTTATGGCATAGAGAGCAACAGCACTTTGCTGGAATGCACCCCACGATCTTTACAAGCAAAAGTCATCTGGTTTGTACAGAAAGGTCGTGAAACAAGAAAAGAGGAGGTAATTCATAGTTGCGTATTCACATCATGATGTCTTGTAATAATGTCTGATTGGTAAACAGATAGTACATTTCATTTTAATTCATTCATTTTAATCCAAATAAATTGTCTTATTTAAAATGTCAGTTTTATAATTTATATACATACAACATGTATAAGTATTTAAATTATCTACATATATTTAAGTACATATAAAAATAAACATTTTAACTCTATAAATCAATAATTTGGATCCTGGAAATTGAATTTTTTAAGGAGGTATTTATAGCATTATGAGTTTCACATGATATTGTCAAAATGATAGTCTTAAGTTGTATAAACCAACACATTATTATAAAGAAATAATGATTACCTTTAATACACGTATCTGGGGTATGTAGATAATATAATTAAAATAACAAGAGCCACTGCAGCATCAAACTGGTTGCATGATAAGTCTTAAATCACACACAACACAGCAACACAAAGGTTCTCACCCACTGGAAACAAAGGCAATGCACCAGCTTCATCTTTGTAAGCAAATTTAGTGAAGATTAGAAGTCTGTAATGATGGCAGAATCACAACTTGGCTACTTTTGGAGAAGGAAGGACAAGCAGCTGTCACGCACATGTATGGAATATCCCAGAGGAAGTTACTGGATAGGAGAATGCAAGTCAAGGAGCTGGCTGGACATAGGGAGTGGGCCAGGGAGAGCAGGGTATTGGCGTTTACGTGGGCTTTGAACTTGTTTTTCACCAAAGTGTTGTTATCAAGTAGAAAAATAATGGACATATCAGAGGGAGCTAGACCATGGCAAATATAGGAGAAATGGTTGGTGGTAATAAGAATGTTGTAAGTAGAAGGAGGAAAATAAATTTTAAAAATTTGCCTTAGGCCACGAGGGCGAGCTCGTGTGTGCAAACTGGATAGAGAGGGAGTCAGTGCAAGTCTTTAACTTATTTTGGAACTGAAGACTAAACATTTGTCACTGGAACCCAAGATTAATTTCAGATGTGGAGCACTTTGAATTTTGATGCCTTTTTTCCCAGCCTGTGGTAGAAAACTAAAAACTCAACCTGGTTTTGGCCCAAATGCAAATGGTATATTCTGGGATATTAATAAACTTGCATAATAAATCCCAAGTTATTGGGATATTGAGAAATAAAGGCTATTAGAAATATAGAAATTCAATCAGTAGGAAAATTCTCCCAAGGTTTCATGACATCATAAGTTTAAACCCTGTCCAAAATTTTTAGCATATTGTACAGAATTACATTGTTTAGTTTTAAAGTACTTTCCATTTCACTGAGGTGAAATGGCCTTTAAAATTCCACCATAACTCGCTTGGCAGGGGAGGACCTGGGACTATTTCCATAGCTTTTCCAAGTTGAATGGCTTCAGAAGAGAGAAGCGATTCTATTATCACTGACTTTCTTTACTTTGTATTCTGTTTCTAATTTGGAACTCACCATAATCTGCCTCATTTGGAAATCTTTACCAAATAATTTTGACATGCTGCATCTATCAATGTTCAATTATAAGGTTCTTTTTCATAATTGTGATATAATCTACTTCTCTCTCATAAGTTTTAGTTTCTAATTTCAACTACATTCAAATTACCATAACTAATATATTTATTTATATTCAAAATTTAGAATTTACTCTGTGCATCAAAATTATATCATAATTGGATATACATAGCTCTCATAGGCATAGTGATAGATTGTTTTACTTACAATCTAAAATAAGGCAATATCCAAAATTGCTGACTTCATTAAAGGCTGATGTATGCTCAAAGCAAAATGATTTTGGATGTGAGTCCTGAATTTTAGAGACCATTTTTGCATTCCTTGCCATTTATATGTCTTATTTACCACGAAACATAATCTTATTACTAGACTTAGACCATTGTAAAAAATGTTTAAGTTCACCTAGTTCCATTCTTTTGAGGGTGCTTTAGAGAATACCTTTGATGACAACTGTCTAGGCTTGTCACTGTTACACATCACACGAATTCACTGATTTGTCAACTCAGAGTATATGCATCTTTTGCTGGACTGAACTTTTATTCTGGAAGATCTGCCCATTTATATCCAAACTCAGCCCTCTTAGAGTTATCCAGAATGACATTCATGTGGCTAAAATTTTTCTTCTAATTAATCCTTAGAAACTCAGGATTACAGCAATTCTCAAATGTACATTTTACATTCTCCTGCTTCTTTAAATATAACAAATGGAATATTTATTTTAATTTGACAAATATTTATGGAAAGCCTGTTTTTCTAGATACTTTACAAGAACACTTTTCCTTGGCTAAGTCTGAAGGTATAATTAGTTGCTAGGAATACATTGAATATAAATTTAATAAGTTATATTCATAGCATTGACTGTAGTTATATTTAATAAGTGATTTATCTATTGTGATATACTAAGAATTAGAATTTAATAGAACAGAATTGATAGCTAAGTATATAGTACTCACAGGATCGCGGCAGGCAGGTGCCTTCTCTCGTTAGGCCTACACCTCACACTGCATGTTCTGATTATCTGCCTTGTGCATAGGCAGAAAACTCAGCTATAACTCTAACACAGGTCAGGGACAGACCCCAGGTGTGTTCTGAGGTATTTTTGAGTCCAAAGCTGTGCTGTTTTCATTGATCAGACTATTTTATGTCTACTTTTATAGAACATATCATTTCATTCTAAAAAAAGTGTTTTATAACTGAGACATCTTTAATAATTCTCCTGGTTCCTCCTCACAGCTGCTTTCAGATCCAGATCCATGTAGTTTTCACTAAACCATAAACTCTTCTCAAATCACAATTCTAAATACAGTTCGCATGCTTTGAAATGGGGAACAGACCAAAAACTTCATAGAGAAAGTTTGGGAACTTAATTTCTGAAAAATGCTCTTGATGTCAGATTGATCCTTACATAAATTTCTTTGTCGGAGTTAAGTGGAGAATGCTTCTGCAGTCTCGATGAAAAAAGTGCTACTCCTCATGCAGGAGTAGGAATTGATCTATTCCTTCTTGAAGCACTGATACCATAAACTATAATTAAATACTGTGTACATCAATGTATATTCAGCCTCAGATTGCCTTTTTAAGCTTCTACTCTTATTAGATGACTTCTATGTCATAATAAGAGTGCTGTATCATTGGACCTATGTAGATCCAAACTCAGAACACTCTCCCTCATTTTTTTTTTAACTAAAAGAATGTTTTATTCATTTGGTCTTGTAGTGATGACAAACACAGACAAAATTATAATACATGTGTTTCTTAAAAGTTCTGTTGAATGCAAAGGAAAAGACAACGGCCTCACCTGAGAGGCTGAGTAGGTAGGTGGCATGATAAAGAATGAAGAAAAGATTTATGGCAGAGACGATATTTGTGCTATTCTAGATGCTTGATATATCATCATTACTTAAAACTTTCAGTATTTCTGAAGTAATTAGCATATTACCCACACTATGTGCCTGGCACAAAGTATACAACCAGTTAGTGTCTCTAAAGCAGCATGGCTTAAATAAGTAGAACCAGTGAAATCCACATAGGATAGTATAATAGAACTCAGTGGAAGGAATTGGATAAAAATGAAACAAACAGCATTCTTTGGACAATGCTGAAAATAAGTACACAGTCTCTAGGGACACTATGTTCAGGGGAGTGGTTAAGGTAGGACCCATTTTCTCAAAAAAAAAAAAAATCTCAGCTAGGTGCCTGTGGCTCAAGTGGCTAAGGCGCCAGCCACATACAACTAAGATGGCGGGTTCGAATCCAGCCCAGGCCCGCCAAAACAACAATGATGGCTGCAACCAAAAAAAAAAAAAAAAAAAAAAAGCCTGGCATTGTGGCAAGTGCCTGTGGTCTCAGCTACTTGGGAGGCTGAGGCAGGAGACTCGCTTGAGCCCAGGAGTTGGAGGTTGTTGTGAGCTGTGATGCCACAGCACTCTACCCAGGGGGACAGCTTGAGGCTCTATCTCAAAAAAAAAAAAAAAGGTAGGAGCCATTTCATAAAGTGATAAATAGGGCTGTGTTGAGTTGGAAACAGCCAGTTTACTGTACTCTCCCCAAAGGTTTGGATGAAAAGGGTTGATAAAGGTAAAGAACAGTAGAGAAATTTTGTTTTACTTTTAGTAAAAGGGGGACTTAACATTTATAGACCTCAGGGAAGTAGCATAAAGAAAATGGGTAGCTAACTGGTGAAGCAAAGGGCACATACGTGGGAGAGAAGAAAATCACGGATAAAAATTAAGGCGTTATCAGAGAGTGTCCCAGCGTTCTCTGAATTGAGAGAAAATAGTTTATGTGGGTAAGGTGACTTTTAGCAAAAGAATCAAAGTTTGGCTCTTCCAAAGGCTTCTGTTTGTATTTAAATTCACTGGCCATACATATTTCTACACGTAGATTTAATTTGAAATACCAGCCCAAATGAATGCCTGCAAATTTTATGTGATAACAGACGATGAAACTATTATAATTACAACGAAAATACCACTACTCTAGTTTAGGAAGTCTCAATTTCTGTGAGTCCATGTACTTCTAATTTACAAATCTCCAAAATAATTGCAAAAACTTAATCCTGAATAACGTCCTTAAGAAATTCATTCTTGTTAAGACACTCGATTGCACAGTTGAAGTATTTCTTATACCTTTAAGAGTTAGAGAAATGCATAAACACTGCATTTTACAACTATAAATGAGGAAAATTCAAATGTGCATTTACTTAGATTCAACTATTTTAGCTCATTGTATGTAATTTTCAGTTCTCGTGATGAAAACCATAATTTCTTCCAGCTATTTATAAGATTAGTAAATAATTACTTGCTTTAATACATATTTTAAGTGTTTGGAATTTGGAATATGTTATTTTTAACTTGAAAGTAGATTCTCCTGAACCTGAGAGACGATTAAAAGAAGTTAAACTACAACCTTGGGGCCAAATATGGCCCTTTGCCTTTCATAAATAAAATTCTATTTCAAAACTATTATACCCTTTTGTTTACATAGTGTCTG